ACTTGAGTGCAGTTGCACGATTTTCTTGGCCTCACTAACATCCTCCGTCTCTCAGGTGCAAACGATTCTCTTGCCTCAGACCTCCCAGTAGGCTGGGATTAAAGGGGCTGCATCACGCCCGGTGACTGTTTTGTGTGATTTTTAGCAAGAGATGGGGTTTCCACCATGCTGGCCAGTCTGGTCTCGGAACTCCTGGCCTCGAGAAGATGTGGGTGATCGGCGCCACCTCAGCTCCCAAACTGTGGGTGGGAGGTTTATCAGCATTATGCCACCGTGCCTGACCACCCCTTTGCACATCTTCTGAGATGGGACTTCTGTGGGCATGTCTTTGTGTGCAACTGTTCTGCGCGCACTGATAAACCGACCACATTTCTGAGCCCAGGCTCCGGTCTACACCTGTTCCCCCAGAGGAGGAGCGACTGTCTCTATCATTCGGAAAACACACCCAGGAAATGCCAGTCCAGGGCCCCGCAACTAACACAGGCCAAGACTAGACCTTAGCTTCTAATCCAGGGCCCCGGCCCGCATTAGAAAACTCTCTTTGAGGAAAACTTGTAATTATGAAGCTGGTATAACATTCATACATATTAGGTTGGTGCAAAAGTAATTGCAGTTTTTGCCATTAAAAACTGCAATTACTGGCCAGGCATGCTGGCTCACGCCTATAATCCCAGTACTTTGGGAGGCCGAGGCAGGTGGATCACCTGAGGTCAGCAGTTCGAGAACAGCCTGGTCAACATGGCGAAACCCCATCTCACTAAAACTACAAAAATTGGCCGGGCGTGGTGGTGCCTGCCTATAATCCCAGCTACTCAGGAGGCTGAGGCAGGAGAATCTCTTGAACCCGGGAGGTGGAAGGTGCAGTGAGCCGAGACTGCGCCACTGCACTCAAGCCTGGGTGACAGAGTGAGGCTCCGTCTCAAAAGACAAAACAAAACAAAAAAACCGTAATTACTTTTGCACCAACCTAATGCTTTATTTCTCCCTTGCTTAAAATCACAACTTCAAAGATTCAGAAATTTCCCAGGTCTTTTCTGCAGGCTTCGTGGAGAAGAGCTATAGCCAAAGTCAGGTTTAACCCGAACTATCACGGAATGCCTGGGAAGTTCCTTTCCTGCTAAAGTGTTTTTTCCACAAGAAAAACTGTTTCTTCGGTCTTCTGTGATGGGAGAACAGTGTTTTGTTGTAGTAATGACGTACGAATCCATTCTTCTTTCTATTAGGGTATCATAGCAACGATTTATATCATCCCTGGTGACATAAACTCGTTAGTTAATTATTTCAGCTTTGCCGCATGGCTCTTTTATGGCCTGACGATTCTAGGACTCATCGTGATGAGATTTACAAGGAAAGAGCTGGAAAGGCCTATCAAGGTAAGCTTGCAGCCCCAGAGTCACAAGTGGCTTTGGATTGTTTAATGAATTAGATAGAGGTAACTCTTTCAAATGCTAGGGGCATGGCTTCTAGTTCTAATCTGACTTGACTCTTTTAAAATATCATATTTTAGAGTGGAGTTTACTCTTCATAGCATAGTTTATGATCCAGTTAGCCACCTTATTATTCATTTTATTAAGTCATCATGAATACCTGTGGCCTGTCTCTGTAACCAAAGAGGCCCACCTCTCTCGTTTTTTTTTTGTTGTTTTTTTTTTTTTGAGACAGTCTCACTCTGTTGCCTGGGGTGGAGTGCAGTGGCACATTCTTGGCTAACTGCAGCCTCCACCTCCCAGGTTCAAGTGACTCTCCTGCTTCAGCTTCCCAAGTTGCTGGGATTACAGGCATCTGCCACCACGCCCGGCTAATTTTTGTATTTTTAGTAGAGACGGGGTTTTACCATGTTGGCCAGGCTGGTCTCTGACTCCTGACCTCAAGTGATCTGCCTGCCTTAGCCTCCCAAAGTGCTGGGATTACAGGTGTCAGCTACTGCACCCAGCCCAGTTCTGATATCTCTCCCACATATATTTTCATAGATTTTTCTTGTTTTATTTTTTTTCTTTAGAGACAGGGTCTCACTGTGTTGCCTAGGCTGGTCGCAAACTCCTGGGCTCAAGCGATCCTCCCACCTCGGCTTCCCAAAGTCCTGGGGTTACAGGTGTGAGCCACCATGCCTGGCCTCCTTTCATAGACTGATGGGAACTTCTGAACTCTAGCCCCAGACCCCTTGCTGTGCAAGCAACCACTCAGAGTCTATTTCTACCATCTGTTTTGGGCTCCCCCCTACTCCCTGCATGGCTGGCATGGATCTATATACCAGTAAGGATGAAGTCGAATTTTACTGTTGTTACGTTAAGGGGCTTTAAAAAAAAAAAACAACTATTTAATTCTTATGATAACAGACATAAGAAAAAGGTAAGCTGAGGGCTTAAGTAGCTAGGACGAGAACAAGGACAATGTCTTTAGTTTTAGGACTTTGTTTTCAGAGATACGTTCAGTGGTCTTTCTGGCCCTGTGTCTTGACTATGGACAAGTGTCTGCCATCAGCTGAGCCATGGCACAGCCTGCCTGGAGCCTGGCAGATCCACCTTGGTTAAGTCATTGCAGACAAAATCATGACGGTAGCATAGACTTGTAATCTGCACAAAATCCCTCATAGAAACAGACAGAGCCTCTAGGATACCAAAGGAAAAACCCTTCAGCCAACATTGTCAACACAAATCAAGGAAATGAAGTCTCACCCCAACTCCAGACTCTTAAATGAACGCCCCACTAGCCTCCAGCCCCATGTGTTCCCAGGAGAGAGGGCACACCTGGAGAGAGGTTCTCAGTGGGAAGATCAGAGGACCCCCAGGGGAGGTGGGGGAGCAGGGCTGCAGTGGCTGAAGCCCTTGAGGATCCCAGAAACTCCCCACAAAAACTCCTTTCCAGGAGGGTAAGGATCACTGAAGACAACAGCAAGAGAAACAACTGCTGGGAGAGAAAGGACACGGAACGTGGCAAGCATATCAGGGTCAAGGAGCTGGAGCCTGTGGATACAAATCTCTCAACTGGGAAGGGGCTCCACAGAGAGGCCATGTCCCATTAGCACTTCAAAACATCATTTTAGGGGAAAAAAATCATTTCAGAAATAAAGAGTGGGCAAGAAGGAAAAGAAAGAACACAGAGGCTGAGTGTGGTGGCTCACACCTGTAATCCCAGTACTTTGGGAGGCCAAGGGAGGAAGATCACTAGAGCCCAGGAGTTCAAGACCAGCTTGGGCAACAGCAAGACCCTGTCTCTACAAAAAATAGCTGGGTGTGGTGGTGCATGCCTATAGTCCCAGCTATTTGGGAGGCTGAGATGGGAGGACTGCTTGAGCCCAGGAGGTCAAGGCTTCAGTGAGCCAAGATCGTGCCACTGCACTCCAGCCTGGGCAACAGAGAGGGACCCTGTCTCAAAGAAAAATAAGAGCAAAGAAACATGCTAGGAAACCGAGGGCCAAAAGGAAGAAAACAAATGTCAGACAGAAATAGAAAGGGTTTGAGAGAAAACAAGGGGACAGAAAAAAACTAGGGGTGGGCCAGGTGGGGAATGTAACACATGCATAATTGGAGTCTCTGAAGAAGAAAATGCAAGTAACAGATTCCCAAAATCTATAATTCAAGAAATGTTTCCTGGGGTGGGAGGAAAAGTGGAGGGTGGATCTTGAACCAACATATTGAAAGGCATACAATGTAACTGGAAAATTTGAGCTAAAATTGGCAGCAAAAATATATGCTGATAAAATTACAGAGCTTTAAAAAAATGCTTTGGGCATCTACTCCCCTTTTCCTGTTCCTACCTGCATCTGCAATTCACTTATAAAGGAAAGCAAATAATTCTGGCCTCAAACTTTTCATCACCAACACTTCATGCCACAAGAGAGTGGAGCAACATATTTAAACTACTCAAAGGAGGAAAATGTAAGCCAAATTTTTTTTTTTTTTTGAGATGGAGTCTCGCGCTCTGTTGCCCAGGTTGGAGTGCAGTGGCGCGATCTCAGCTCACTGCAAGCTCTGCCTCCCAGGTTTATGCCATTCTCCTGCCTCAGCCTCCCGAGTAGCTGGGACTACAGACACCCGCCACCTCACCTGGCTAGTTTTTTGTATTTTTCAGTAGAGATGGGGTTTCACTGTGTTAGCCAGGATGGTCTCGATCTCCTGACCTCGTGATCGGCCCGTCTCGGCGTCCCAAAGTGCTGGGATTACAGGCTTGAGCCACCACGCCTGGCCAAGCCAAATTTTTATACCCAGCCAAACTGATCTTGCAGAATAAAGTCTGCAGTCACCAGTACGAAAGAACTCAAGGCAAATATCCTTACACGAGACTTTTTTTTTTTTTTTTTTTTTTTAAAAGACGGAGTCTCACTCTGTCATCCAGGCTGGAGTGCAGTGGCGCAACCTTGGCTCACTGTAACCTCTGCCTCCTGGGTTCAAGCGATTCTCCTGCGTCAGCCTCCTAAGTAGCTGGGATTATAAGCATGTGCCACCACGCCTGGCTAATTTTTATATTTTTAGTAGGGATGGGGTTTCACCATGTTGGTCAGGCTTGTCTCAAACTCCTGACTTTGTGATCCACCCACCTCAGCCTTCCAAAGTGCTGGGATTACAGGCGTGAGCCACCGCACCCGGCCAATTACATGAGACCTTGAGGAATCACCCAGAGAATGAGCTTCAGAAACCAAAAAGTCACTGACAAAGGTGAATATATCAAATTATAGAACTAAGATTGATGAGAGATAAAGGAGACAGAAGCGTATGCCACTATTACGCACTGGCAATATCGTACAAAAACATGGATGAGAGAAAGCACATGGAAAAGTAGATGCCAACTGAGGAAAGTATGCCAGACAAGCTGCCAGTAAGGAAGCCACTTTAAATTAGATGCTGGGAGGAAGAGAACGCCTAGCTAACTTCATTACTGCTTATTATACATAATGTCTAAAAAAGAAACTAAGGGTATTATAGGCTCAGTTAATATAATTCATATCTTTAAAAGGGGACTAAGGATATTATATATAATATATACATATATGTGTACTATATATGTGTGTAATGTAAAATATAGGTAATATGTGTATAATATATGTATATATTATGTGTATATGTATGTGCATATATGTATGTATATGTGTATAATTACATGTCTGTTATACATATAAATTATATATATAAGTACATATATACATACAATATCTTTAAAAGTGGACTAAGGGTATTATATAAGGATATATTATATATTATATATGTATATGTTATATATGTATATCTTATAGGCATAAATACATACATGTATTATGTACACATATATGTATATATACATAATATATAACATATACAACACATAATATATAGCATTAAATATATGTATATATTATGCCTATTATATATGTATAGATTGTGCCTATTATATATACTTATATAATATACACATATACAGAATATATCCTTATATAATACCCTTAGTCCCCTTTAAAATATATTATTAGTTATGATATGTTTGCTATAATAGTTATAGTAACTCTCAGAACAAAAACATATCCTTCATACCTACCAAAAGACACATTAGAAAAAGACAAGGTGTGCTTAGAATACATGAAATAATTAAAATTTAACATTTAACATTTAAACAGAGGAGGAGGGAACAAAACAGACCATACTGTAAAAGACCCTATCTATAAAGCCTTGTACAAGAGGACCCCTCAGAGTATCTTCCTGGTTGATGTTTTCTTGTAGACTGCTTTAGGATTTTTTGTCATTGCTAGTTTTTACTTATTAGCTTTTGACACCCTAAACTATAGAATCTATGAATCTCTAAATGCTGTCATTTCCAGCTGATATTTATATGGAAAAATTAGTATTTGAATCCCCAAAATGTAGTATAAACTTTTAATAAAATGTGTGATAAAAGTTTCAAGTTACATTCCAAATTCAACACACGTCAAAATCATATGTAGGCGTACTGACAGTCACGTGCAGGCGTACTGACAGTGTGAGGTGTGAGTGTCTCACGTCTTGTGAGACCATGTTATTGCATTAAAGGCAGTCATTGGTCAACAGCCATGTTAACTGTTTGGTCACCAAAAATTATTTTAAATGCAGTTTACCATCTAATGTAATCTGTGTTGGGTAACATGTTATTTATATGTGCATTTACTGTGTTTTGGTTGGGAATTTGAGGTTTCTTTTCTTTCTTTCTGTGTGTGGTTTTTTTGTTTGTTTGTTTGTTTTTTTTTTTTTGAGGTGGAGTCTCGTCTGTCGCCTAGGCTGGAGTGCAGTGGTGTGATTACAACTCACTGCAACCGTGCCTCCCAGGCTCAAGCGATCCTCCCACCTCAGCCTCCCAAATAGCTGGGACCACAGGTGCGTGCCACCACACCTGACTAATTTTTGTATTTTTTGTGGAGATGGGGTTTCGC